CGTGGGTGAATACCCACTTCGTCACCCACGAAAGCTCATGCTCCAATACGTCTGTTAGTCTATAAGGTGCCACAGGACTTTTTGCTGTTTTTACAAGCAAATATGTTACTTTAAATTATAACAATTTTTGGGGGGGATGGGGGGAGTTCAGACTAATTTTTTTTTTCAGTTTCCTCTAGCAAACAAATTCTTGAATTTTGAGTTTTGAAAATGAACTCAAGCTTTCTAGTGTGATCAGGAATCAAATGAGGAGAAAAAACACACATAAGTCTCTCTTTGGCTACTGTATAATAAAAGAAAATGTCTCTCTTTGGCTAATGTATAATAAAAGAAAACCTCTCACCCATTTCAAGGACTTGAAAGATATCAGATCTTAATGTCTCTTTGCAAGCAGTTACCTTAGGCTAAGTAAAGCACTAAGGAACGTTTTGGTGATATTGACACGTGATAATTAAAAATATTCAGTTACAAGGTTTTACCACAATAACTATAAGGTCAAGGACACAATACTGTTTTTTAAGTTCATGGGATTGTTGGTCAGAGTTGATGGTCTTTAAAAAATATTGTAACTGCCTTACCTCTCCCTAAAGCAAAAATGTTCTTTGTTGGAGGTGTATAATATCATGGTTTTAAATATGTCTGCATGTTATGATTTAGGCACAGAAAATTTTTGATGTAACTAGATTTGGTTGAATTGTGCGTCAGTGCTGACAGTCTTGAAACAATACATCTCATTGTCTTTCAGTTGAAGAGGTCTTAGTTTAGATTAAACATATATGCATCCTTTATGAAAATATATTATTATGGTTAGTTTTATATGACTACACATGTAAGAAATGGATGTTGGCATATGCAGTGGCAACGTACGTGAAAAAAATACATTGTCTGTTAATGGTATTTAGTGGCAGTATCCATATCTTCCAAATATTATATTTCTCAGCTAATCATTACAGCACAAAATAGCTATTGTAGAATCCAACACTTTCAAGCCTCATGCCTAAGGCTAAGATTTTGTCAGGGATATTTTTAGTAAAGGTCATGGACAGGTCACAGGCAAAAAAGAAAAATTCATGGAAGCCGTGACCCGTCCGTGACTTTTACTAAAAATATCCCTGACAAAATGGGGATCCGCAGGTCCTCACACCACTTGAAGTGGAGCAGCTGCACAGGGGCTAGGAGCCGCCTACAGCTCTAGGGGTCCCCCGCTGCCCGTGGGACCTATGGAGTGCCCCCGCCTCCTGTGTCAGCTGGGAGCTGTGGGGTACCCCCACTGCCCGCAGCTCCAGGGGCCCATGGCAGCTGGGAGCTTGGGGGTTCCTCCGTGACCGGGAAGCTGGGAGCTGTGGGGTGCCTCTCTTGCCTGCAGGGGCCAAGAGCTGCAGGGTACCCTTGCCGCCCGCAGCTCCGGGGGCCCAGAGCTCAGGGGTTCCCCCATCACTGGCCCAGGGTGGCCACAAGCTTGGAGGTTCCCTCGCTACCGGCAGCTCTGGGGGCCCCCACCGCCCATGGCAGCTGGGAGTTCAGGGGCTCCGCACCAGCCATAGTGGCTGGGAGCTCTGGGGGTTCCCTGCCACCCATGGTGGTCGGGAGCTGTAAGGCTCCCTGCCACCCACGGCAGCTGGGAGCTGTGAGGTTCCCCACCATGCACTGTGGCCAGGACCTTGGGGGTTGCCCTGCCACTAGCAGCTCTGTAGGCCCCCACCACCTGGGGGTTCTCCCTCTGGTGCTGGCAGCTGGGAGGGTACCCGACTGCCCGCAGCAGCTTGGAGCTCTGGGGGCCACCAGAGGCAGCGGGGATACCCCGCAGCTCCCTGCCCCAGTGGGCAGTGGGGTACTCTGCAGCTCCTGACCACCGCGGGCTGAAATCACGGAAGTCGCGGATTCTGTGACTTCCATGACTAAATCGTAGCCTTCCTCATGCCTGAAGAAAGTCCATGTTTTCTTACTTATTGAACCATCATTACTACTTCACAGGAAGACACATAACCACTGATCTTTCAGCATTGTTTTCTAAGCTCTTTTGAACCAAGCAGGCATTCAATTGTACACATAAGGAAGTATGTGAATGTATTTTTGTCTTAAGTTTTCTTGCTTCTTCTAGAAGTTTGCAGTGAAATAAACTTCCCAAATGTCAATGCTAGTTGCTGAAGTTGTCCTGAGTGACATTTTTTCACCTTAACATTTTTTTCATGGACAAAATATATAATTACATTATTTTAATTTATTAAATATTTTAGCGTTTTTGCAACAGCTGCCAAATTTCACTGATTGGCTTTAATCCTTCACTGTTCCATAACAATAAAAGCAAAAGATAGATTTTTATATTGCAAGTCTCTTCTGTCTTCAAGAAAGTAAAAATCTGAACAGCAAGATGCCAATTATCACATGAAAGTACCCGTATGCCGATTATAACGGATTCCTGAAACATACAATCTCCAAGTACCAGCATCAATCGAATGCCTGGGTTTTTAATCAAATTGCTCCATTGCAAAACATTAACTCCTAGCCACAGGTCAGTGTGTTACAAAATGCCTCCTTAAAAAACCCTGCTTTGCCAATTCGCAAATTTGATTTTCATTAAATATAAAAATATAAAATATACGTTCTGAAAGGCTGGCAAACCATCTCACAATGTCACTCAGGGATGGGAAATTGTGAGATTGTACATATCTGGCAGTTTTATCTATTCCTGTGAAATCTCTCTAGGATTGAAGTTGACAGACAAAATACTACCCTTTTCTGCTGGAGGTGTGTAAGATTAAGGAGGACAAGCTGTGCTGCTCGTACATCCAAACAACGGGAGGGAGAGATGGCGGCCTGGGATACTTTACCACTCTCTTATAAAGAAGTTGTGTGTCTCTTGTTAGTGCATGCCGACACTCCCAGTATACCTGCTGGCTCGCTGAGGCCCTGGCTATGGCTCTTAATTTAGGACTTTGGTGTGCCGAACAGCCTGAAAGGGAGGTCCTCATTCTAGCAAACTCATGGGCACTAAGTAGAGAAGCTGTTATGCTGCTGAAGCGTAAGGGGCTGCCAACGTCCCCTTCCTCTCCTTAGCACAAGCATAAGCAGGATTTGGCCCTACATTGTGAATAAGGTGTTTGATGGCTATTTAAATAAAAGATGAGAAATGAAGGTTAGAAGTGGAAAATATTCAGACCGAAATGCACACCCGCAAGTTCACAAAAGTTGTAGGGCTGGGCTCAAGGAGCCTTTATCCATATGTCTTCATGCGTGTGGGGAATATTCCCTGTCAGTGCCCCATCCCAACAAGAAGTGGGGGGAAGAGGTGGCAGAACAGTCTAAATCCCCTCAGCACTGCTGTGGAGCTAGTTGATGCACCCTCCTGTGAAGCAGTGCAGATGCTGCACACTTCTAAGCTTTGCCGTTTCTGTGGAATAGCGTGGTTCCACGATACTCAGAACAGGTATGTCCTACCACAGAGTGGCCCACACATACATAAATAATCTCACACATCTAACTGACTGGTAATGCTGTAATTTAACTTGTTTGCACAGGGAACCCTTTCTATAAATCCCCTTTGAGAAGCCAAATGCTTCAGAAAAGCTTTTGTTAAATCTGAAGTATATTGATAAAGTGATTTAATAAAGTCAAGTACAAGGTGTATGACACAACTTGGCCCTTTCCCACATGGAATCAGGGCACAAATACAGTACTGCAATTCACCATCAATCCATTCTGAAGAAAAAATGGAAATGACAATACTGTCACCTCCTCGTGTGTTACTGCAATTGCTTATTTTTCTTCTATGATCTCTTTCTACTTGCCACATTGATTTGTAAGCCTATTGTCCTAGGATGTAATATCCTTTTGTAAGGATTGCTACAACAATGGCCATCATGTTTCATATTTAGGAGACCGTGGCACTTATTCTATTTGTACAAAAGGCAGAAAATTCCCTATCATTGCCAGAGCCCTCAGGGCATGTCTACACTGCCCTACAGTTCGGATTACAGAGGTGTGAATAGCAGCATGCATCAAAGTGTTGCACCGTAACTCTGCTGCATGGACATTCTAGGTGTGAACTAAAAGGTTCCTAGTTCACCTTAATGTAGCTCTCTTCAAACAGGACTACATTAATGCGAACTAGGAACCTTTTAGTTCACACCCGCAGCATTCACATGGGGGAAATTCAGCGCAGCACTTTGGTGCACACTGCTATTCACATCCCCATAACCCAAACTGTAGGACAGTGTAGACAAGAGCTCAGTTTGATTCTGCTCTTCTCCCCCCCACCTAAAGGCTGGTCTTTGTCTTCATCTCGATTTCTTTTCTCCCAGTTTCCTTGATTTCTCCTCCTTCCCCTTCCTCTTTCTACTTCGTTCGCCTGTTGTGACACTATCATGAGAAGGAGATTTTATCTACCATCCACAGTCAGACGAGCATAGGAATTCTATCTTTCCACGTGAAGAGAGATGGGAGGGTTGGCAAGCCAGAGTGGAATCGTCACATTTTCCTTTCCTTTTCACTACTCACACAGTGTTTTGGAGAAGAGAAAGATCGGGAAGCTGGGTTTTTTTCTCAGTGGACAGCTTGAATGTTTTCATTCTGCCTAAGATTGGTTTTGATGATCAAGACATTTGCACGGCAGCACATCCCTGAACCCCCCACGCTGGGAGTTCTTACCAACAGGGGATCTGCTCAGCTATGGGCATTGAAGGTCCCAAAGTTGGCTTTCATCTGATCACTGCTTTTGCAAAATGAAAGCCCATATTTTGTTCCATGAGCATCACTTTCTCAATAACCTTGAGCCATCCATTGATTTTAGTGGGGGGGCCCTGCTTGAAAAAAAAATCAGTGGCACAACATGACCCGTTGATTGGTTTAAAATTATAACAGAGGAGATTGAACCTTAATTAAAAATAGCCAAACTGTGACAAATATGTAATCTGAATTGCATTCAAGTTTAAATACTCCCAACCTCCCTCCCTGCCCTATACTCACACCTACCTTTCTTCTCTGATTTATCAGACACTTTCCCTCCAATTGGCGAGTAAGTGGTATCCATGGACTCTGTGGCCCTGTTTCCTTTGCTGACTCCGTTTTCATAGAGCTGCCCTTCTACAGGCTGCAGTTGCCATGTTAAGCCAAATAAATGTACTGCTGTAAAAAAATGAAGACCAATTAATTTATTCCTAAATCATAGCACCTTTGATTAGACTAAGAAAGAATGCAGCAAACCTGTTTCTGCAAACGTCAGGTAGTATTTGTCTCTGTGTGGAATAAATCAGAATTCCAAGTTTCTAACTTTACTCTAAAACTAAATGTCTTCTTAATTTCCACATTTTCTTTTGGACACAGGCCAATGAGCTAGGTGATTAATTTCTTCAGCAACTAATGGAAATGCTTGAAATAAAAAGGATAATGGTTGTGTGAATATGGTACTCTATGATAGATTCTCAAGCTTTAGCAGGTATTATCTGTTTCAACTGACCAAGAGCTCTCTCCTTCGCTGCATTAATATAGTACCACAAAGGAAAACTGTTCACCTTTTGCTGCCCAGCTCTGAGTGATATTCTTCCTAGTATGTTCCCAAATCATTTTCAGCCAGTGTCTGCCTAATCATTAAACATGAACATGAGTGTGTGCATGCGCACCTCCCCCATTCCCGCGCATCCCACAAAAAGGCCAGGCACAATTAGTCCTGGAGCCAAGAGAGAGCAGGGACTTCTTCCTTCCTAATTCCCAGGAGGTGAACCTCAAAGTGAGTGTGAAAAGGTGGAGGAGCACAGCCATGGTAGAATGGAACTGATCTACAGGGGAAACAAGCTGTACCCCACAAAAGGGTAATTAGCAGGCAAGCTCCCTTTGTGTCACAGTCGCTTCCAGTGCCCCCCGTTGATTGGTGCACCCCTGGGCTGTATATAAATGACATTGTCGATGTCTCTGATGTGATGGATGTGACAAAGGAAATGTATTTGATATTCTTCTGTATCTATTAGGAAGCTACACAAATTAGATTTCACCTTGACATAACTGCAGCTAATGTAAGAGAGACAAGGTCTCTTATGCAAACACAGTGCTCTACGACTCATCAAGAAGATGAAATGTGGGAAAGGTCCGTAAACTTTGTTGAAAGGCAAGATTAACAATAATAATGTGGACATACAATGGCCTCAGCCAGCGAGGCCACAAGAATACTGTACAGCTAATAAAATGCAAGGTACAGTAGTTTACACCAAATGCACAAGTATTGTAAATCCCTACACCACGTTTTTAAGACTCACCATCCATATAGCCACAGCAAACATGATGCCCCAAATTCTCATTTCATTTACCTGACAGGGCAAGAAAACTTAACTGATTTATGGCTAGATTCTGATCTCAGTGTGTAATTGCAAAAATTATTCACTTCTCATTTACATTAATGTAAATTCAGAGTAAGTTCATTTGCCTCAATGGACTTATTCTGGATTTATACTGGAGTCACAGAAATCAGCATCTGGCTCTACATCTCAAAAATATGTAATCAGTATACATATCTATGGAATAATAATAATTTGAGTCTTATGGTCTAGAAGACCTCATTGATACTAACCATACCCTGTGTTCTGGCCTTGGAATTTATTAACCCAACATAGATCACTAGTACATATAATGGAATCAGCAGGGATCACCATGTTTGCTGTACCTCTGTGTTTCTGTAGCATGCAGCATAAAGGGGCCCTGATCCTAGCAAGGGCTGTGGGTTCTATTATATATTAACAAAGAGTTGGCAATTAATTATAATATATACAAATAAATATAACGTGAGGTTCTGTAGCAGGTTTATATTCATGAATTGCATTTCCATGTTATACACTGTAATATGATGTATGTCACAAGGCAGGGGGCTGAATGTGCAATGTATGTTTTTCCTTGTTCCACTTCTTTTTTAGCTTGGCTACATTATGCATTTTGTCAGCCATTCTCACCAATTAACCTAGTTTGCTTTGTCTTCCCTTCCGGCTGGGGAAGTACTGTAGTTTCTGTAGTACATGCCAAAGCTTGGCAAGCTAGCTGAACTGTTTGTATGTTTGACAGTCTGTTTCCTTCCTGAAAAATACCAACTACATTATAGAGATGATGGCCTTTGCCAGCCTTGGACTCCTGACTTGTAGCCTATGGGAGATTACATGTGATACCACTAGGTAGGTTTCTCGTTGAACAATGTATAAGGCTGGATGTTTAAACAGAAAATAAGTTCTACTTGGATTAAATTAAATGGCTTCTATCATTACAGAAACTGGTTAGCTGGCAATCTTAAAATAAATCCAATTTTCATTTATATTAACCATCAAGTTCATGTGTATGAACTATAGCTCTTTGACAAATTAACTTCAAATCTAGGTATTACTCTGGTAATAACCAGTTTACACACAACACTGGAAGCCATTAAATCTTGGAGAAGACTATTTCAGGAGCTCACTAAAGGAAGTAGCACATATTTATTTATCATTTTCATTAATATTTTTCACCACATTTTCATTAATATTTTTCTTTTCTCTTAGTTAAATATAATTTCTACAAAAATGCCTTTCTGTTTGCCCTATAATAGAGGTGCAGTATGCAGATAAAAACTACATTTTATTTTAAATATACACAAGTAGGATTCAAGAAAGTTTGCTTTTAAATCTCTTTCAAACATCTCTGGAAGATAATGAAGCTCCATGCAGAAAGTGTTTACTTGATTTTATTAAAACACCACAAAGGATGTTACCATTTGAAGCACTCTCCTTTCTCATTTGCCAGCACAATACTAGCTTCCTCTCTGCACATTCTCACTGCTGTTAATACAAGCACCTTCTTGTGCTACTCTCTTGCTCTCTGGAACAACCAGCCTGATTACTCTGTCTCCTTGACTTTTTACCTTATTAGAGATCTAATCTGAAAACATATCTTTTCCTGATGTGCCAAACCCCAATTTATCCAGCCCTCCACTATTATTTAGCTTTGTCACTGTATGACTACATTCTTCCCCCACAGACTTATACATAGCTCCTATAGAGGTGATTTGGAGGCAGGAAACACATTTGAGGTAAAAATGTGATCCTCTCTTTATATGGTGTTTTGGAGTACACTGCAGATGTCAGATGCTAACGTACAAATTGCAATTATATTGTATTTATATAACACGTTTAAGTCATTCTAAAATTTTAGATCCTCCTTGCAAAAGATAAATGTAAATATATTTTTTTACAATAATACGATATAGGATTAAATTAAAGACTTTGGTCCAGCTACTAAGTTGGACAGAGTTTACAGTCGGCAGAGCTGACGAGAGTGTAGGATGCTGTGGGGGCAAAGGTGGATCTAAGCTTGCTTTCCACTTCCTCAATCCTGGGCCTATTATGGCTGCTCTAAATTTTGTCAGCTACATTTGGTCTCATCAGACTGCTGTGCTGCCTGAGGATACAGCGGAGCACTGTATACTCTGCCTTGTCTTCAACGTACCACCTAAATGAAGCCAGGGAGCAGTGGCAACTCTGGCTCTCTGGCATCTCCATCACAGGAAATCCTTGGTTGCCCCTTTAAGGTAACTTTCTGGCTGTTTTGCACCAATGAGGTAACTCAGAACTGCCAGGGCCAAGGCTCTGGCCCTTCATCTGCAAAGCAAATAATTAGAATGACCTATTTTGCTCAACTTTTAATCAAAAGGAAATTGACATTTCTAGATAAGTAACGCACGTCTTGTACGTTTGCAGCATACTCAGGCAAAGACTCAGAAATATACAAAAGTGGGATTTTCAGGTTTCATTTTGTAAACCAGATTATTCCATACCTTCTGCTTATAAAGCCAATAATCTAATTTAATTTATTCGTATCTACCTTCTGTGTAAACACAGCTTGTCAACTTATGTGCTGCAAGTCTGGCAGTATATGAAATGTGTGGTTTGGCTCAAATGCAAAATAGACTCTCAACAGTGAAGAGATGACCAAAAAAAAAAAAAAAAGTGCCCTTTGCAATAAGCACGTATCTAACCCACATGACTAATTTTTGGGGACAAAATCCCACAAATGTGTAGTCTCTCCAAATCACCGACCTGCACAAAATGCCTTTTGTTTTGCTTTCCCTGCTATTTTCATTTATTTTAGAAAATCTTATTAGAGCTTCCTCTATCAGATCTAAGAATTACAGTAGTTTTGACAGAATGGACTTCATTAGCTGACCATTGTTTCTGCCCCTCATCAGACAATCTTAAGCTACTTGAAAAGTATTTATTTTCTGCAATTGCACACTGGTCCTGTTTACAATGTTGGATTACATCCATGCTATAAAGTCATGATGTGCATTGGTGTTTGTGATCATGTGGGAATTTTCTGCAATATTTTATGAATCCTCAGTTTCCTCCTAGGCTTTGCATTGCTACCCAGTGTGGGGAAGAAGATTAATTTTGCTCTCAGGCTACGCTAAAAGATGTAAGTGCATGTGTCACCTCCCTGTTTGGGTGGAATGAGTAGAGTTATTAAGGGACTGGTTGAAACTGACCCAGGTCAACAGAGGGTCCAGGGAGACAATGCACGCTGCAATGATTCATGTTATTGACATTCAACAGTGGGAAGCTCCGGCCATGGGGGTTGTGAACTCAGCATGGTCCTGCCTGGAAAAAAAGGACAGAGTGTCCAGCAGGGAATAAAGGGCTTGTCTTCACTACCGGGGTAAATTGACCTAGTTATGCTACTCCAACTATGTGAATAATGCAGTGGAAGTTGACGTAGCTTAAGTCGATTTACCCCGGTGTCTTCACTGCGCTGAGTCGATGGGAGACGCTCTCTGGTCGACTTACCTTACTCTTCGCTGAGAGCTGGAATACTGGGGTCAATGGGAGCGTGCTCTGCCATCGATTTAGTGGGTCTTCACTAGACCCGCTAAATTGATCCCTGCTTCATCAATTGTAGCAGCTTCAATCTCCCCATAGTGGAAATCAGCCCAAAGTGTGGGCTCTGGAAGAAGCTGAGCTCTTTCACTTGGGAACTGAGCAAGGAAGGAAGTCAGAGAGAGACAGAGCCCAAAAATGGAGTTCATTACAGCTTGGTTGCTAAACTGTGGCTTGACCATTATTTCTCTATGCTAACCTAAGGACTTGCAGTGCAGTGTACCACATGAGTAATGCATTCTACTT